CTCATTAGAAAGTTGGTACTTATTTTGGCTCAAAACGGACAGTTCGGTATTAAAATGACCGTTTTTTCATGTCGATATTGCTTAGGAATATAAGGCCCACTAGCCCATAACAAAGCCCAAAGATATCAAACCCAAAAAGGCACTAACTCCATAAATACTCTGTCAAGTGCTATCAAACTTAAAATCTCCTCCGTAACTCATCCCTACCGTTCACAACCTACTGCCGGAGATAAAGCCTCTTCTTCCCTAAATCCAAAACTACTCATCTTCGCTAATCTCATTCGTTTCTGGATTTTGCATTCAACAGATGGCGGAGGAAGAAGTTGTTGCTGCTATATCTGCGTCGCCAGTCGATCTCAAGCGCAAGCTCGATGAGATTAAGCCTGAGCTCGTTGAGCAACATGCTGGCTCCAATGGAGTTACTATGGCAGCATCTGATTCTTCTCACGCAAAGCGACCTAAGCTCGAAGATGAGGCGGCCGATGGTTAGGTATTTTCATATTCTTTTGCTTGGTACTACAAATTTGGGATTTGGGTCAATATAATCTTTCTCTTAATGACTTTCTGTTAATTGGGTTCGGTTTAATCTGCCTAACTCTGGAGGTAATTCATGAAAATATTATATGTATGTTCTAGGGTTATTTCCAAAGGACTATGTATTGAGTATTACAGATTTCCTTGAGCTTGTGAATAAAGTAGTGTTTTTGGGCTCATTGTTTTGTTGCGGCATTTTGTTATAGGTAATGGGAAAACACAAGAAAATGTTTCTCCAGCGAAGTTAAAGGAGGAAGACCTTCGTGAAGAACCGAAAGAAGAGGAGAGTGACAAACTGTTTCCGTAGAAGGATGAGAATCAAGATTCTGAACCTCTTGTTAAGCAAATTAAGGAGCTCATTATTGTCGGCGAGTCTGAAAATCAGCCAGCAGATGCTCATGTTAAGCCTGAAGATAACCAACAAAGTTATGTTCAGGCCCCAAAATCTCAGGAAGATACTGCTGAAGAGTGTAAGGATGTCAACGGTGGTGAACCCCAGAAGGAGGGTGATGGTGAAAGTAAGGGATTGAATGATAGCAGTTTTCAGAATGAGATTGGTAAAGAAAATCAAGAAGTGGGTGGTGATAATTCTCAGAAAGAGGTTGATAATACACGGTCGACAACTCGGAGGATTTATGTCCCAAATTCAAAGGTGATATGATTTGGTTTCAATTTTTTCTATTACGTGAGTATGCCCCCACTGAAATTTGTTCTCTTATGTGCTATCAAATTACTTTGCAGGTAGGTGTGTTGATTGCTAAAGGTGGGGAGACTATACGATATCTTCAGATCAACTCTGGTGCCAAAATCCAAATTTTGAGGGATTCAGAGACTGATCCCAACTCAGCATTAAGACCAGTGGAGATAATTGAAACTAATACACACATTGAAAATGCTGAGAATCGTATCAATGCAGTCATAGTAGAGGTTAAATAATTTTTTCGTCATAATTTTTGGCTTCTTCACTCTACATCTTTTATCTGTAAGAAATTTAGGTACAATAATTTATTCTGCTGCTACATCGGGCTGAAGCAGGCGGCTCTCCTGCCCTTGTTGTGAGGGACCATCTTGCCTCTCATGCGATTGGGATTCCAGAACAGATAGAGATTAAAGTTTTAAATGATAACGTATACCCTATTTTGTTCATTCTACAATCAATGGACTCATACCTAATCCAGCTTCAACTGACAGGTTGGTCTGATTATTGGCCAAGGTGGGGACACAATCAAGAACATGCAGACAAGGTCGGGAGCGCGCATTCAGGTAGTTGCTTGTATTTCATATTAAAAGTATAAACGAACTGAAAGTCTTCAAATTTTAGTACATATTTTTACCATATTTCTCAATTTATGTGACAAGTGATAAATATAGCTATTGTGTAGTTAATACCACAACATGCAGAAGGTGATAGATTAAAGGAAAGGACTGTCCGTATTTCTGGAGATAAGAGGCAAATTGACATAGCAACCAAGATGATAAAAGATATTATGTACCACGTTTGTTTATGATAATATTGCTCTTTAGGATGCATGTATTTTCATACATTTTTGACTTAAGTTAATTTGTTGTTATAATGTATCTGAAAACATATTCGTTTCTTAATGATCTTTATGTTTCATTTCATCTTTGGTGCATGGTTTATCTATTTGAGATGTTATATTATGGGTAGTGCATGTTACTACCTTCAATTATACTATGTAGACACTTGCTGATAAATATGTGCGTTTGCTCAAATTTTTGCCATCATTTTTAGTATGTGTAGGCACTTGTTGTTCGTGATTGCTCTGTTCCATAACTGGCTGCACAGCCAGTTTGTAGGTCTGGTACATTAATCATTTTGTTCTAGTTTGCTGTTTAAGATGGTGATTCCTTATCACTTCCCCCCCCCCCGGGATAACCATAAGCTAAGTAATTAAATAACTCGTCTTCTAGTACATATGGAAAATTGTATGATGTAGTCTATTGAGTACTCTCAACCGCCAATGCAAATCAATACGTCATTGAATAGCTACATGTTATGTGAAGCTGGTTTACATGCCCTTAAGTAATAGTTAGTCTAATGCTGCTATTAGAAGGATAGTTTACAAACATGTACCGAGTTTAACAATGATGCTCATTTAAGCCTGTTAAGAACATAATAAGTTTTATCCTCGATGTTGGTTGCCATTTTTTTAATTTTGGAGGTGCCAATCTCGAATTCGTGTTGGCTTTAAAAATGCAGATTTCGCTAATACTGTTCACATGGGGTCGGCATTACCTACTTGGTGTTCATTAGACTGATGTCTACAGAAGAAGGTATCAGACTTGCAGGTTCCAGTAGTCGGTAAGGCTGCTTTGAGACTAAACTTCAGGACCATAATGTGAGCTTGGATATTGTAGTACTTCAGTGTAAATCTAAAGCAGATCTTCATTTTTTTAGACACTTGCTCTTCTTTAGTTAATGTCCTTAAAGAAAGCTCTACCTGAAATATATGTGGACCGATGCGCACCATATATTAGCAGTGAGATTGTGAGGGTTCTGTTTAGTTCCATTTGCAACCTAGTGTATCAAAATTGCATAAGCTATGCCCGAACTTACATGGAATGGCTTAGGGGAGAGTGTAATGTGGAAGTTGCTATAATGTGACATGAAGATTCCTTTTCAAGCACGCAATGTAGTTGCAATTATTTATGGTGCCAAGCTGATGTCAAAATTTTATATTCATTTGAGCTAGTGTGCATGTTATTTATGAGATTATAGTTGTCACTGCATTTAAGAGTCTTGAAAGTGTAGCATTTATTTCTAAATGTTATGTGCACCTTACTGTTCTGATGAGATCTGCCTTGCTATGTTCTTTGCTCACTCTTGTTTAAATATTTATATTTTATGATGCGCCATGTATTTCACCTGCTTTGTCCTGATAGAATCATGTTCTGATAAAAACGTAACTTGCTGTGTGAGATGTTATGCCATCTGTATTCTCTTATGGGAAATTTTCTTTTTGTTTGTTTGTAGAATGCAAGGCCGTCACCCTATTCAGGTGGTTATAATCAGCCTTCCTATCAACCCCAAGGGCCAGGTGGTCCACCTCAATGGGGTTCACGAGGTCCTCATGCTCCCCACTACCACAACCGTGGACCGTATTCATTTCAGGGTTCATATTACAATATAATTCTCCCGGCTACGGTGGTGATCCTCCACAACATATGCCTCCCAGAAGTGGATATGGTGCAGGTTAGGACCAAAGACTTTCACATCCTCGTCCATACAATTATTATGGTAGACAAGGAGCTCAAACCTCTGGTCCACTTCCGCCTCCTTCTGGCCATGCACCATCTCCTGCCTTGGGTGGTCCCCCTCCTTCCCAAGTAAGTTATGGTTACAGTCAGATTCAAGGTCCAGATTATGGATGCGCTGCTGCTTACTCCCAGACCGGTCATCAGCAGACTTATGGATAGATGTATAAACAGCCTAAATATGACAATAATCCTCCGATGCAGCCACCTTATGGAGGTGTGTATACCCACCAGTAGGTGATGGTCAGCCAGGCTATCCCCAAACGCAGCAACCTAGTACTAAGCATTATGGGATGCAAAAAAGTCCAGTCCAGCAAGGATATAGGCCTCCTCAGCCTGCATCAGCAGCTTTTCCTTGGTGATGTGCCTTACCAAGGTGCAACTCTAGTAGCTGCAACATATATGGTAGCACCAACATGGTTCCTCAAGAACAATATGGCTCCACGTCAAGCGGTGGGCCTGTATAACAGCAAACATACCCTTCCTACAGCTCGGCTCCACCATCTCATGGTTACAACAATGGAACTCAACCACATGCCGCTGGTCCAGCTTACCAGCGGTAAAGTGTTTAGCCAGCTTCTTCTACTCATGATCAGTCTAGTGCACAGCAAGCTGCAGCAACTGGATATGGCGGGCAAGTACCTCCAACTATTGGCATCTCCTCCCCTCTTGCTGGCTCGTAAACGTCCTCAGTATTCTCGAGTAGAGCTGCGTCGGAGGCTAGCCTATGCATAGCAGGGTAGAGGCGTATGTCCAAGGCTTCTCAGAGTTCTGCCCTTAGACCATCCCAGAACTTCCAGGCAAGCATATCAGGGTCAAGGGACCGCGTCCCTGAGAAGCATGAACTCCCTGTGGTATTCTCCCACGAGCCTCATGCCTTGTGTTAGCCCGCCAAAACGCTCCTGCCAGTGCGTCATGGCATTGTCCCTTGGTTGCACTGTCACCGTAGCCTCCTCCCGTGGCTTCCAACCCATTAGCCCCTTACTGTGGCCTCCCTGCCACGGTCCACAGCCTTTTAGCCAGTCGCGGTCGACCGGCACTCCGGATCGTGCTTTGATCCGGTCACGAAAACTCGGAGCAGGATGCCTCACGACCTCCGGTCTCGTGTACATCACGTCTAGCCTCGGACGCGGTGGAATTGGCATATCCGTTCTCGTACGTGACCACCAGTGGGTCACCAGACGTGACGCGGTGCTGAGGCTTCGTTCTTGCTGCCTACGGCTCGTTGGTGACAGAGTGTAGTCCGGGTCCTCCCTCGTGGAGATCCATAGCTTGCTTCCTTCGACGCGTACCACCCTTGGAGCCATTCTTCGTGGTTTCTAAGCTAGGATTTTCTTTAAGAGAGAAGGATATGTGAATAGAAATCGAGAGAACCTCTTGACCCTTTATATAGGGTTGGAATTACCTCCTCTTAGAGTAAAGGGAAATTTCCATTTTTTCCTTGGAGATAATTATCATATTTCCTTTTCTGATAATTTCAAAATTTCTATTCCTTTTCGTACTAGGATAAATATCGAATTTCCATTTCTGATATATACGAATAATTCCGTATTTCCTAGAAGGATTATCAGATTTTCTTTCTTTGATAATCACGAAAAAAAATTCTTTTTTCTAGAATAATATCCGATTTTCTTTTTCGGATAAACCCAACTTCCTTTTCCTACTCTCTCTAATCCTGCGGCCTCGCTTCTCCTTTGGCCACGGTTGTTAGGGTTTTGTGGAAGCTTCCAGGGAACTTAAGGCCCAAGGTAAAAGCTTCCAAGGCTCGTACCTCTTTTCAGACCGTAGCCCCAGAAAAC